GCGGGATCGGGCCCTTGTTCCTGCAGGGGGGCACGGGGCCCTATGTCTTCGGGGGGCCTTTTCTCCTGGGGGGACCAGGACCAGGGTCCTTTCTCCTGCAAATGGGGCAGGGGGCCCGGTCCCCCCAGTGCACTAGCGGGTCCCTGACTGGGGGCCTGGCCTCTTGCTGCTCAGGTGCCAGGCGAAGCCCTCCCAGGAGGGACCTTGAACCCTTTGGTGGGAGTGTGCAAGGGCCCACGGGCGTGCAAACGGCGTGGTGGGGTGTGGGGGGGGCGGTGTGTGGATCCTGGCCGGGGCTGTGCATGTGGGTGTCACTCCGGATCGGCGGGGCTTGCCCCCGTCCCCACTCCGCAGCGGGTCTCGGAGCAGCTGGGGAATTGGCCTTGACAGGGAACTAACCCAGCGGGGCAAATATTTATCCCGCGGTTCTTGGGCGCGGCGGACACCGGAGACGGCCCCGGGGCAGGGCGGGTCGATCGCTGCCTCGGATCCGTGCCCCGGGGGCATTTCCCGACACATGACCCCCACCCTGCACAGCGGGGCCCCATCTGCCAGGGGCTGGGGGGCTGACGGGGGCGGCACCAGCGCACTCGGGTTGAAGACGAGCCCCTTTGCACCCAGGACGGGCGGGGGCGGGGGTGGGGGGGCATGTTTAACCCTTTGGCAAAGACTGGGAGTCGGGCATGGGAGACCGCATGTGAAATCATCCCCCCCGCAAGGGCCTGCAGGGCCCGGGCTTGAATGTCTTCACCTGTTGGGGAAGGGGCTTTGCGCAGCTTGCGCGGGGGGGGGGGCCGTGCTGGTCGCTAATGGTCTGCGCTGGGCTGGCTTCGGCATGGGAGCGGCAGAGCATTTCATTAAAGTTTCATGCGGGTCAATTGCCCGGGCCTGGAAAAAGAAAGGGGGTGGGGAGGGGAGCAAATCCCAGCCCGAGCTCGCGTCTGAAATATTAATACTTTAATGCTGGCTGTTAAATAAGCCGGTCCCGCAGGCTTGCAAATCAATTCCTCCTAATGCACTGCCGGGCCGGCCCCGCGCCCGGGCGCTGCCCCTCCGGCAGGAGTCACTCGTGCCGGCAGTGCTGGACCGGGGGGCTCCGGAGCCCCCGCGGCCGCCGGCGTCGCAGTGACCCGTCCCGGAAAGACTGATCGTGGCAGGAGCCCCGCGCGGCGGCGGGCACGCGGCTCCTGCTGGCACCGACACGCACACGGGCACAGGCGGGGGTCTGTGCATGGCTACGCGTGTGCCTATGTACACAGTTGTAGGCATCTGTGTGTAGACACGTATATTACAGATGTGCGCGCGCGTATGTGTTGTGCACATACACAGACGCGTATGCGCAGCTGCAGGCACGTCTGTATGTGTGTATGCAGCTGTATGTATGTATGCACACATATACGTATTACAGCATGTGTGTGTATGTATATATAAGTGTATATATATGTGTGTGTGTCTTAGAGGTGCGTGTGTATGCGCGTATGCATATGTGTGTATTGTCTATGTATATATGTATATATGCATAGCCGTATATGCTATACATTATATATGTGTATAGTATGTATAATACATGTATGCTATATTATATATATGCGCGCGTATATATGCGTGCGCGTATAAATATGCGCCCAGCTATCAGTGCACGCACACATACACAGCCAGTCGCGTGTGCACAGCTCGGTGCACGGACATCACAGCCCTGTGCCCAGTGCAGACGTCCTCCGCGGACCCCGGGGCTGGGAGCTTCCCGGGGGGGCTGCCGGAGCCTCTGTCCCGTGTCCGGCGGTCCCCCGCCCCGCACACCCGCGTTCAAGCAGGCGCCCAGCGGCTGCCCGCCCCGTG